TCCGGCTCACCGAGTTCTGCGCGACGAACGTGCGCGCACACAATTTTGGACAACTTACAGTATTTCTAAATATGCTTGGCCAGGATTTCCAATTTCTAAGTGTTAATATTTTACTTTATTGATTTAATTAATTATTTTAATGTTCCAAACACCTAATTTATTTACGATTTAGTGGAAAAAGTAGAAAAAGTAGGAAATATAAGGGAGTGAAATGGGCCCCTCCTCGCCCATTTCCGTGAGGTCCTACCTCTCCAGAAGGGAGCTACGACCCCTCCGAGGCCTCACAGGGGACCATGTTCTTTTTTCTTTTAATTGAGGAGAACCCCCGAGTCCTGCGGCTGTCGCGCACAGGACTAGGGGGGAAAAACCTCAGGAAGGAAAGGAAGTCGGGTCGACGGACAAGGAAAACACAAAAAGGGTTTCTTTCTCAAAGTAAGAAAATTATAACCACGTAATAATCAGTTTGAACAATGTAATGTATTTCAGCGATAGGCCTTGTACGCTTCACATGATCTTACAACTATATACAGACTGTTCTACAATTGTGGATCACTTCTCTTTCACAGAAATTACATAAATATGGATGACAGCATAACTATGAGTAATCGTAGAACATGCTGTACAATCGTACTGGGAGATCTGTATAATTTTCCAGGGGGTCTTATTTCTGTCGCGAGCCATAAAAAGATGGCCCTTTAAAATAACTTATTGACACTTGATTATACTGACATCCCAATACGACTAATTATACATATCCATCAATATACATACAACGTATTATATGTACAATGAGGTGCACTAGCGCTAATAATACGAATGGGTTTCATCACAAAGAGGAATATTAGAATAAAAAGTCCTAAGTTTGTTACGCGATCGAGACTCGATAAAGTATTATCAATATGACATACAATTTTTCTGTGACTTAAAACTCACATACGTTTGTATCGCCTTAACTCCGTAATTTATCACAAATCGAATGCGACACGTTGTACCGTAATCGTATTATCGAAACGAGTCACTCGGTATGTCGAATGGGCCTAAATATATAAATCGGTTAAAGTACAATTGCATTGGAAGCACGACGAGGCTCAAAATTAATTATCACACTTCGATTACGGCACGACGTTCGCGATTGTCTTAATCGAGGAAGGCTCGTTGAATTAAAGATGATAAATTAATATATACAATCAGAGGGTTACTATTTACAAAAGTAATACCAGAATCGCCTCTGAACGCGCAATGACGCAGATTACCACGAGCCTCTAACAACATTCAAATAAAAATTATTAGTAGATCTCAAGGAGGAAAGGCCATTACGCGTTCGACGCGACCCTAGTCCCATCTAACGGTGGCAAATAACATTACTGGTGTAAAAGACGTAAAAAGGTATCTAGTTAAATAAATAGGAATGCGCAATGTTACACTTAAGATCTAAGTTCTAAAAAACTTTTGTTTTCATTCATGGAGAGGGCACCACCTAATTTTCATAAGTATTTTTCACTCTGCGACGATGCCCAAACCAATCGTCAATCTTTCACAACGTAATACTGCCCGGAATCCAACGGGACTCCTCGAGGAAGTATCAACGGTCATACATCTGGCCCGTTGTCGCTCAATAGAAACGAATCGAGCGAGCATTGTTTGAGATCTCAGCGATGCGACGATTATCGAACAAAGGATTGTTACGTCTATGAGATCCTCTCGTGGTAGGAATGACACTGGGACGCTGCTGGCCACTTCCGGAAAATAGAGGCTTCTTAGGTACATTCGACTTCCCGTAAAAGAGACTTCCGCTGCTGGCTTCGATCTCCTCGATGGATGGAAGTTTCGAGAACTTCAAGTCGTCGACGTCTTCGTCCCGTGGCAGAGGACGATTCGAGTCACCAGGAACCGGACGACCATCCGGAAAGACTCTGATCACCATTGGTCCCATTAAATAGGGACCGGTGTGCCCCGTGGGCCTCACGTAGTCGCTCACTGGTGCTGATTCTTCGGCAAGGCCATTGTGCTCGCTGCCGGAATTGGCTGGAAATCAAAGTGACATGTTAGACCGTTTATGAAAGTGCACCATGACTTACGACTACGCCTAATCAAAATTACATCGTGACACTCGTGTCATATCCGGCTACTATATTTAGACTAACCCCGCACGTACAATGTATATGGCATACACTATAAGTTGTTTAAGTGAAGGTCTTTCTTTTATGGTAATTCCATGCGAGGTCTTCCTACTTCCGACATGTCGCCCGGCGATTTCAATACAATGCCAATCAAGGACTCCAGCATGTTGTTCTCCTCGCCTCGGAAGTAACGATGGCCATCTTTCAACGACAGACGCGAGACATACGGTACAACAAGAGCAAGACAAGATATCGTTTACAGCAAGACAAGAACTGACAGCCAGAGCCATTATCTTAAGTATGAAGTCTCTACGATTGAGTACGAGCTATTGCCATGTGGGCCAAGGTAGAAATACTTCATTTATTTATTTTTTTTCTATTCTTGAATTATTCTTTAATAATCCAACCAACAAGAAGTACCTCGTGCCGTCGATCAGGCGTAAAGCAGACAGTCTCACTATAATTAGCTCGTTACTTATGCACTGGCGGCCTCCTTCCATCTTTGCAATTACGTCATCTTAAATAATAATTAAGTAAAGAATGCATTTGCCTCGGTGGCCCGCGGACCGAGCTGTTTGCACTTTCGTAGAAAGAAATAAGAAAGAGGCCGCGAGCTGCAATCAAAAGAAAAGTCTCTGTTTGGCTTCTACGGAGAAATTACGACTCTTTCTCTTTGTATTCTCTGGACCGTGACGAAGCCACGTGGCACGAGCGTTAAATGCATCGGCAATATATGGGCCATGGAGAAAATGTGAAAGCCGTCATAGCGCCAAGGAAGCGGCCCGGGAAGACCTTAATGTCCAAAGAGCGTTCGATGGGCCCAAAGAAGAAAGGAGGACCCAAAGAACACCATAATCGAAAGACCTTCCTCGCTCTTCTTGCTTTGTGAAATGCCAGTACAATTTTTTTCCCCCCGTAAAAGGAAACTTCCTCCTGCGGTTCTCGACTTTTTCTTCGTTCCACAACCTGGTGACTTTTCTAGTCTTTTCTTTTGTCACGGTCACTGGATACAAGGATCGTACAGACATCTAGGGATAGTTACCTAGAGGATCTGCATCGTTAGCGTAATAGGAATCCTCTAGATCAGTTCCAATTCTGTTTGCAAAACCGTTGTTCCTCATCATGCCACGCCAAACTGTAAGGAAAAGAAGAAAAAAATAATAATAAAATGCTTAGTTAAATGAAATTCGTAAACAGACAGAAGCAAAAACGTATTTCGCCAAGTGTCACAAAACGGCTCAACATCTACAACCGCCCGTTCACCGTTGTGTATCCAACTGATTTCACGGCAAAGTGCCAACTGGCAGGACACGGCATTTACGCGCGATAGCAGTTGTTTTCAAACGCGATACACACCGGCTCCGAGTTGTAACGCGGCAATTGCATAATCGCAGCACGAACAACGTTCGCTACACGAGCATCGACAAAAATAGATATGCGACAGCTTATTTAAAATCGCCACGTTACCACCCCGGTACTCGATACCATGCAAACGTCCAAAATCTATAGGGTGGGCAGATACTCACTAATCTCTTGTGCGCCACGCTGATAAGGATCCATCTTGTCTAACAGATTCTCATCCATTGTCGCCAGATTACGCAAACCGGATACAAGTAGATTTTTGTTGCAGTCGGGCATCGACGAATCGGCGCAGTAACGCGCCACTTGTCTACTGAACACCCTGTATAGATGACTCATCTGTAAGGGACAAAAACAAGAGGGTAAGTAAAGGCGTCTTCGCAAGTGCGATTTTCAAGTCCTAGAGGAACGGCGGACGTGACGTAAAAATTGCACAAGACTCGAGAGACCAGGAATTGTGGCGACAGGAAGGGAACGGTATAGGAAAAGCGGTGAAGTTAAAAGAGACGAAGGAAAAAAAAAAGCCACGAGATCCTATAGGGTGTGAAGTAAGTCCCGTCTTTACTCAAAATGGTCGCGAGAGAGAAAAGTGGGCCGTACGGTTTATGTACACAAGTCCTGGGTCTGACGCGAATGGAGTTCCCCATTCCAGCGGATCGTAAATTCTATAAGCGTCCGGTGAAACTCGGCAATGTGTAACGTGAACGCGTTACATATGCGCGTCGCGACGCCTTTGCCTACATCACGTATCGCGTTGCGATATAATTTTCACAATAAAACCATCGCGTGGTAACGTCGGGCCCCTTCTTTATGCGCAATTCCACGGGGTGGATCGAGAATTTCTCAATTACGATTTGTTCCTTTGAACTTTATTTTCTCCGTGCCCGAGTCAAGAGGGGGGAAAGACGCGACACAGAGGAAGAATAATAATGAATTATACAGAACGAATCGGAGTGCGGATACGGTAAATGGAGGTAATGTGTAATCGCATTAATTAGAAAGCTCAACTAGACATGGGTGGGCCTCTGTAGTAACCAAATTGCCCGGGAAATATTCAAATAGAGATTATTGATCTATTAGCAAACAATGGACGTAACGTCTATTAATTATTAATGCGATCGCTACACGAAGACGATTATATTGTAATTTGTACTTGTTTATCCGAACGGCACACCCGGTAGTGGGTTATTAGCATGGAATGCTAATAAATATTAAAATAATTAGACTAACTTTTTGTGTATACTATTAGTAAACGTTACATAAATTCTTGCAGGTGAACTTGAATTTGAATAATAAAATTGTACCTATTACAATTTAGCTACGTTCTTGTATTACAGTCATTTCAAAGTATGATTATATAAAGTAGTATTTTACAAATGTGGACTAAATCGATTTACATGGAATTTTAATGTTTCGAAGGGAAAATTAATTATCGAGCGTACTTCAGTCATATACATAAAAGTTGACGAAGCATTGATGTATATTCGTAAATGCTTACTTTCTCGTCCCTGGAGAGAAATTCCCACATGGGAATGGCGGATCCACGAACTTTCGTAATGTCGCAGCACAGAACGAGGATGCTGATGGCGATGAAAATCCCGCAACACCGTACTGCCATTGTTGGCTCCAACAGAACAGTAGCGAAGGAGACGTCGAAAAGTCACACGAATCGATCTTCCTTTGTCCGCCGCTTGATCACTGATACCACGTAGTTCACCGGGTGGTAGAATTAAAAGAAATCCAAGATGTACGTTGTCAAGTATCTTTGTGGTCGATGGTGAAGTTTAATTATTGGACTTGTATAGCAACGCGTGCCTTCAAGCTTTAGCAATGTTGTCGCGCTGTACGAACCAGTCGTCTGAAGCGTTCGCAAAGAACTGGACTCTAGCTGGTAGCCGGTTCGTTATATGCTGACTCCTGGTGATGCTTACGGTTACTGTTAGTGGGACCCCACCATCACGAAGTCCAGACAGACACGGGGCCCGTCAGTGCGTCCTACTACAGTCCCATACACACAACAAATCCATCAAGTGTAAATACGTATTCGGGATCGCAATAAAAAGAAGCACGCCTTCTCCAAACTCATACTGGCCGTCGTGTTTACGTGATGCCAAATCGTCGCGACGCCTCGCTGGTACAGGCCCCCCGTCCTATCACAACAAATGCTCCCAAAGCTTGGAAGCCTACGTCATGGTCCCACGACCGGATCCTCTTCCGCTAATTGGCTGAGACGTTAACTTTTGCCAATAATTCTCACCGACTCGGCGTTATTTTTCATTTCATTCTTTTTTTTTTTTTTCCTCGCAAGGACGTCCCAACGACTTTGAAGCAGCGTGGACCCTCATCCACATCATCTTCGGGCATACCTACGCCAGAAGCACAAATTATATTTCGGTTCATCGCCTATTTTGGATATTCATATTTTTTTTGTTAAATCGTTCCACAAACCACCGATCTTTCACGTACTCGATATTCCTTTTTTTTCATTAGATATTCAACATCGAAATGCACTTTCGGTCTGTACCTTTTCAAGTGTTATCTAAAACTGACGTCATCCAAGAATTCCTCGAGGACGAGTCCTTGGCCGTCAAGTTCGTCGACCTTCGACTACATTCCCTGCAGCACGATGCCCTTTCTTAGTATCCAAGAAATATATTCTCTTGCATGCAACTATCTATACCTATAGTTAGTAATGGCGGCGAGGATGTCGTGCTGCGATCCCGGATATCCCACGATGTAAGGATGCACTTGAACAATTCTGACTCCTCGGTAGCCACCGAGTAAGAGACCGTCCAATTAAGTTAGGTTAAGTATCCCCCTGCACGGAATTAAAACTGCATTAAATAAATGGCAACGATTATGATCGCATACATTTTTTTGGTATAATTACCTTACACGTAATCGAACTGACTCATCCTGAATTCGCTGAGTAACTTCAGGTATGTTTACGTACAAATACAGGTTACGTCGGAGGGTCCTTAATCACGATCATGGAATTTCATTTGGGCCTTATTACTCTTCTGATTATTATGATGAGCAATCGTGCCAACGGGTCGACCAGCACGTATACATACTTATTTACCAGTCACTCGAGCGTGCCTACGGCCAATGCACTCACGACGCTCTCTCTCTCGAGTTCTCGTCCTGGCTGAGCGCTCTGAACAACAATAACAACAACCACCACCTTTATTATTATTATGCCTGTCATGATGATGATAACGGAAAGGATTGCTGCTCACCTAGAAAGATCTGGAATGCTTCCCATTAGGAGAAACGGAGACGAATGAGATCTGAAAAACAACAATGATTAATTGTCAATTAAAGAAGATGGCCGTTTGGAATATAAACGTTACAAATTGTTCAGGTTAATTTAAATTTTTGACACTGTCAACGGTTGACGTATTGAATTGTCGTTGGTACACTTGTTAAATTTTACCTTCGAGATTCTTACAAGTTTGCTCTGTGGACCAGTTGGACATTTCATGAGTGAAAATAAAAAAAAAACCAAGAACGCGCCAAGGGTCAGATTGTATCTTGAAAGTGTCGAGTTAAGTTTCTGTGGGTTCTTAACCTCGAAATATTTGTATGGCCGGTACGGTATGTTTATACGAACAGATTTTACATATTGCGTAACTGTCAGATTTCACCGCTCGATCGTCTATCTCCTAAGTTGATAGAAAGACCTTCTTTCTTTCTTGTCTTATTCCATTTCTGGATTCCGCGTTGAGAATCGTACGGGGTGAAATTTATTTTACACCAAGTAAATATTGCGTGTTACTAATGGGAAGGTCGAGCACGCTTATGCCGATAAATTTCAACGATTATGCCAAGATGATTATTTTCTTCATCTCATGCACTGTGCGTATATATATATATATATATATTACAACAGATATGATCGAAAAGTCACGCGATAAAAGGAACATTTAAAAAACGTGAGTCCAGAGCTGTGAGAATTAACGGTACAAAAACACCATAACGGAAAGACTTGAAGCGAGAAAATCTTAAAACCAATCTTGAAACGATAGTTTCACCATGATAACACAGTGCTACTATGGCATAGTAGAATAACGGTTGGCAACCATTACTGTAAGTCGGTACTATCAATATTCTTATTAGCCCAAGAGAAAGCAGACAAATGTATAGTAAATAGATCATCGTTGCTAATACGATCTGGTGCTATTATATTGGTCATGTTTGTCAGACTGCTAATTTTGTTCGTCGTAATCGATCCTCACGTATGATTAAATCATAATCGACTGTCGTAAGAATTAAAATGGATACTGACCACGCATCCCCATTTCTACCCAAGCACCAACTGGTATTTTTGCTCCTGACAAAATGTCAGGGCGGCGTCGCCAAAAACTTGATCTTCGATTTGCGTCAGAGATAACCTCTAGATCAACCGATACATCTCTGTTGTATACCCCCGTGACTCTGGGCCATTCTCCCACTCGATAAATGCCTTTGCTTTCTAGGCAAACGGCCCGAAAACACGGACGCGCCATGGGTGGGCAGTCGGTGGTTATAATATCGAAGAATTCAGTAAGTCTGAAAGAGAAGAACAAAAATATATAATCGTCGAGGTAAACAGACTGTGCCAATGGAATGTTTTTTTTTTTTCTACCGATTTCTCATTATGAAGTTCAACGACTAATGACTAGTCAGCGATGAACTTAACCCACGTCAATGGGGTAGGCGTCGGATAATCTCCGATTTTGGGATGTTTGAATGATTTTGACTCCTGAAAAAAAAAAAGAAATTTTTCTATGGATCATCTTGCGATTATTGGTTCTACATGCATACCGATCATTTTAGGTTCGACTACCGAAAAAGGAGCTCGTGCGTCAGAGTCTGGCGACGTGGGTTGATTTGAACTATGAAATTTTTATTTCTTGCCCTTATCGGGGTGTCTTCCATTTATAATTATTTAATCGATGGTGTCTGTGAACCGGCGCCAATCTATGATCAATTGACTCATCTCGGAGTTCTGGATAGTTTATGGTCAGTAGCGCACACGACTGGTAAGGATGAGTGGACTGAATATCCTGAAAGAACAATAGTATGAATTAATTATTTAAACAATGACAAAAATTAAAATTAATTTAATTAATCATTTATTTCGCTTTCTATGGGAGCGACCTACGTAGTTCATCTTCTGGATAGGATTTATAATAAATCAATTTGGAGGGCTGGGTCATATTGCAAACAAAAATTAAAATCTTCATTCTTTGCTGAATTCAGGATCAATTTAATTGCCGTCATCTATAAGATAATTAAAGATCGAATTAAAAAATGACTAAATACATGAATATCGATACTATTATAATTAATTAGCCAATGTAATCAATGCTGTTTTTTTTAATTGGCAAAATTCATTTCCTGTTTATTGATTAACAATCTATTGATACACGTAAACCTAATTTATGTAAATTATCCAACAGAACTGTACCTCCTAATGTAATCAGTTATTACCACGAACTATGCTCTATCAATCATATTTCATTTTAGTGAATAAACAACAGACCCGAATCCTCGAGTATAGCAAAATACGTGAATAAATATGATTGATTTATGATCCGCGATCGATTATACATCAATGACAAAGAATTACAGTCGCAAAAATACTTATGCAACGTTTAATATATATGTATATTAAATAATGATTTTTGAGCCTGCTGAAATTTTCGCGCCTTTTGCGAACATACCTATATATGACATTGCGCAAGCTTCTTCATAATATGTAAAGTAGCAAAGGAGTTATAATCCGAAGGAAGATTCTTCTAAATATGTAAAGCGAAAAAAAAAAATTGAAAAATTCCCGTCCTTGCGATAATCGTCATATCATTTTTGTTACTTACATTTTTTTAATGCCTCCTTTGTCATCATTAAACTCAAGAGAGACATTCCGATAGTCGAAAAAGTCCTGGAATTTCGCGTCTCAAATAACTCAGTGGTTCTCTAAGAATTCTTGTTTTTAATTGACAATTTTTCAGAATTATTACGAATCATAATTTACAGAAGAGTCATAACAGTGTAGCCGATAGATGCAAGTCACTCGATGACTCGATCCGTGTACATTAGAAGCGTCGCGTGTAAAATTCACATACAAATTCCAAGCGGCTTTCACCACGCGTGAGAAACACCAGTAATTTCGGAATGCTGAGAACGTCGGTACGATTGACGTCACAAATCCAATTGAAGGAGTAACGTATGTACAAGCCCTATTCAACAGTAACCACACGACGTTACCTGACGTTAAGAAGCTGGATAACTATCCAACAAGAAAACCGCGTTTGATTAGCAAAAATTGTCAGTTGGATAAAAAAGAAAAGGAAATGTTAATCGAAACATGGACTGGATGTCATTATGTCATCGTAAAACGGCAAGGCCCTGGCAAGGACGCCTAGCGTCATCTACGTAACACCAGTGGGAACCCTGAGACGTGTAATAGCTATGATGGATGAGGCATTAAAAGAAAGAGAAAAAAAAATATTTAAAAACACACCCTAACCACAGTGAAATGGCAGACGAAGAAAGCTCAAAGATGCCTGACGTAAGTGTCGTTGGAATGTGTAAAAACATTTTACGACCGGTCCGACGTAAAACATGAGTTTGACGACGCGCGGGAATCCCGTCTTTAATTTTTCTGCTTTCACGCACGACGTCCCCGTTTTCTCACTCGACAATCGCATAATAATTCACAGTGGCATTTTTGTTATTTGATTATCGAATTAATCCAGTCGTAGATCCGGTCGACGCTGTCCTGATCAATTACGTGACTAACCTAACCTAACTGCGTATCTACACAACTCACCAATTGTATGCACAGGATAATTGCCGAGTCATATCCGCTCTATTCAGTCGTCCATAATGGGATGAGCAAATCGCCAAAATTTACGAGTGACATTGCTGCCTCGTTGCTAATAAGTGTCAAATTCCACGACGCTGAAGATGGACGGTTCGTCGACGAACGTTCAATTAGTCCGTCCGTTAGTCATAGAGTTTGAGAGAAACCAGTGACGAGCAACCAGATTACGTTTTTATGACTACGGTGAAACATGGCTAGAAGCCAAATAAAGCCTTAAGGACAGACTACTTCGAAGAGGATTTCAAAGAGGGAACTGACAGTCGCTGGGATAATCGCTATTGCCGTCAAGTAGAATGTGACATCATTTTTTCGTATCTTCTTACAATATGGCGTCAGCAACTTATTACATCCTAAAGGCGCATCCGCATGTTCCTGATACCATAACCGTTAGACGACGGGTTGTCCTCATCGAGTAGGAATTTTTATTTTCTAATCAGATTATAGCTATTAATTTTTTGGCTTATTTTAACGAGCTAGTTATTTTCGGTTGGCGATGGCGGTTCTTTTTCTTTATGTGTATTTATATTCGTACACGGGAATTCTCAAGGGATTATTACTGCGTGATATGGTGTTTTAACGTGTGCCGGTGTAGCGGAGCATCTTGAGAATAAGGTCAATGCCATTTACAATGAGATTTGTGTATGGTATAATATTTTCGTCGCGACGTCCCAAACGAATGAGATGAAAAAGATGGAACCTCCTTGCCTCAGTGGGTCAAGAGGAATCTCTTGTTTTCAATCAGTGTTAAATCTCATGGCGTCTTATTCGACAGACGGATCCCTGACCGAAATTGATCAACGACCACGAGATGAAGGATTACATGACGTGGCTCGTGTCACTCGCCTGAAGAATGTTATTGTCGTGTCAAAGAAATAAGACGTAGGACATTTGTACGTGTTACTAAGTGACGTTTATTGAAAAATAGGAAAATCATGCACGGCGTACAAATTCGTATGAAGAAAAAAACATGAGAATCGAAATATTCTTGTTACGTGTTTTACATTGTTGTTACGATTTGCACTAAATTATGTATACGCTGCAATGATTCATCTACTGTGATACTGGAGACGGATCTGTGCAATTTCCGAAATGCGGTCCTGTCGTAATTTAATACTGTTTACCAGATACCAGATTCCTGAATAAAAATCTGTTTTGATTTCTGCGGAATTCGCCTACTGACGTCAATCCGTTTAAAACCAGGATGCCATAAAATGTTAACACGGCGCCGTCCGGCTAGGTATTCCCGATTTTATTGCGAAAAGATTAATCGTTCGACTGCCGACGAAGGCGTTCCTGCATTTGGCCTATTGCAATTTGTGAGTGGACCGCGCGGAACATCTTTAAATGGATTTTTAAGCTTGTGTATACGTTTGTGTGCGTCTTGCGAAATACGATTTTTGGAAAAATCACGGCGGGACGTTATTAACGCCTGACAGCAATTATTTCAATTTTTTTTTTCTACACTCATCGCATCGACTCGTTCGCGATTATGCAAATGGCGCTCGACATGTAACCTTCGACCGAGTTGAGTATCGCTTTGAACCGGTGAAGGACTTGCACAATAAAAATGGCTATCGAGAGAGACAAGAGATTGTATAGAAAAAAAAATATATATATATTTGCCTATTCATTGTCCAACTGTGATCGATCGATTGTTCGTGTTCTCTTGTGTTTCACCTTCTTCCGGCGATTAAGATTATCTGGTTATGATCTTCCGGTCTCCGTCAGTCGATATCCGGGTCAAAAACGCACCGACGTCCTTCTTAAGGATGTTTAATGAAATTTCGTGGATCGACCAGTCTGGCTAATTTTTGTCACCATTAAAAGTCACTCACTAATTATCTCGTCGACGGGTTTACAATTTTCGCGTTAAAAAACAACAAATCCTATACTGCTGCGGAATTTTGTCGAATAAGCAAGTCGTTAATCACTCGTTTTGTCAAAGGCTCGGCGCCATTGCCTTCCTATGGTTGATCGGCCGACGATCGTCTTCATGGAAATTCTTACTCGACCCGACGACCTTGTCACCGCGAAGATGACCTCAAGGACGCTGTTGGACTTGTATCGGCCTTGCCGAGGTTTTCTTGTGAATCGCGAATACCGTTTTACTCTTGTACTGGATTCTAACCCCATCCTATAATAACCGCATAATATTATGTGAAGAAGGTTAGCGAACCATGTATTACGTGGCGTAATTTCCACGGTAGAGGCGCCGATGGAAGAAGCAATGGCTAATTAGAATTGCAGAGTCACAGGGGGAATAAAATAATGAATTATTTATCGCACTCTCATTTGAATAGGCGATCAAAAAGCGTTGTACTTCGGCGCCAAGGTGGCGCGACACCGATCTCGGAATTCCAGGCATTCGGCAAAAACCTGGTCGATTAATCAACCGGTAGCATTATTCGTGGATGCGATTATAGTGTGCGGGAGATGAATTTATATTTTACAGGAAAACCATTGGTACTATCCGCTTGCGTTTCCAAGAATCTTTTGTATTTAAAGTAATTTATCTGAGTATAATTGGTTGTAACAATAAAAAAAATGGAAGATTCTGTAAGTTTGTTCCTAAATGGTCTTATATATCTGTTGGTAACGTTCATTTGTGCTTTTGCCGGCAGTAGGTAAGATATTCGTTATCATTTGCGCACTGACAATCATAAATATTATATCACGTCTCTAGAAGAAATATCGCGCGAGACAGAAGGTATCTACGTTACAGCGCTCCTATTTAAATACACCAACTTAGTACATTATAAATTTTCATAAATTAGCCCTCTTTTCGGTAGAGAAAGAGGGAGGGAAGAAATTGGAATCTTTTAAAAAAATTTCTAAACGAAAGAAAACGGCGGATCCTAATCGTAAGTATAAAAATATATTTATTGTTTCGAAAGTAGATATTCAATGCCAAAAGGAAATAGTTTAAAAACCGGCGCTAGTTACATGATAAAAGAATGTAATAAGCTATACAAATTTACATTTCACAAGCATAAAATATAGAGTACCATCGTATCGAGCAGTCGTCATAACAGTTTACGGACAATTAGACATTTTTAATCACACAACCTCGTGCGTCCTCTAGAAAATTAACGGCGACCATACGCATGGTGCGACTGATGAGCTGTAAACGAATAACCCAGTAAAGATAATCTGAAAATAATAAATTGCCACAACCACAAGAAAACTCACGCTTATAAAATTCTGCTGGGAAAACAACATGAGGTAGGAGTCTATGTATCTTTTGTAGCACCGTAGCCTTTGCTGCTAAGTCAGCATTAACGTTCCACACCTGAAAATGCATTAGTACAAAATTCCTACTAATCTAAATACAAATCAATCAACTAATACCTGGATCAGGTCATCCCTGTCTCTAATTGACACAGTCACTCCACATATCTCATCCCCTTCAGCAACGCTATCAATGAATTGTTCACCAATGGCTGCCAGCACTACTTCTTTCCAAACTTCAGCCTAAAGGATTGGGTAACGCCATTTTTATACCAATGAAGGATATCAATCAATTCTCTTGACTGACAATGGAACTCACTGTGTCGCTCTTATGGCACTTCAATCTCCAGGTGCCACCGTGTTGATTCACAGGTTCCTCCCACATGGGATACCTGTCATCCCTCATCAGATGATAGCTGTATCTAACCTATGATAATATTAGAACGATTCAAATAATTGAAATACCAAACATGTATCCTTATATCACACAAAACTATGCATCACTCTATACCCACCTGTATGTCAGCAGCATTAGGAATATTATTGAAAACCGCCCAAAAACTTTGCACGGTATTCACCGTATAAATTTTCTTCAGATTCTCCTTATACTCCTCGGCGGTCGTACCTGAAATTGCCCTGCGACACAGGTTACAAGTAAAACAAATTAGCACGGCATTCAGACTGAAACAAACTATACACTGATACGAGAGAGGTCAACAACGGTCAATATGACGCAAGCGATTATCATTCCACATATTATCAACAGATGACGATCAAATTCCCATCACCATAATAAACAAATTGTCACCAGACAAATACGTAAAAATTTTTCGAGAAACACATTTGCACCGCAATAACAATTATTTCTACGTACAAATTGATTCCTTCAATGAAAGAAGCTGCGCTTGGTCAATGATTATCTTGCAAGATTAAACGCCGTTGAGATAACAGACGAAACTTCGAGTAAATAATAGAAATTATACGTTCGGTATACGACATGAGTATAATTAGCAATAAAACTGTATTTTCCCGTGCAACAATTTTTCTAGGTTATTGCAACGATTTACGTTTCGTTTACGTAAATAGTTCCTGACAAGATTATGTGTCACTGACATATTTCACTGATGTCAAAGTCGCTGAACGTCAGAGAGACCATAAACAGTACTTAATAATGAGCGGCTTTCAAAGTTCATCTTCGTTGAATAGTATCTTTTATACTGACTGACTTACCTATCAAGCCAAAAGGTCCAGGAGGACTGCAGAGGTGTTCCCGAGGAGTCGTGCTCTTTGATGCTCTCGACGGTTGTTTCCGAGAATATTGGAGATTTGGATAAATCGATCGGCGGACCTTCCTTTGACTCGCACTTTGCCGCAGCCATGTTGAAACGACACTCGATCCGATACGAAGATCACCGACGTTAAGAATCATGTGACCAACGAAACTATGACTCGTAACAGCTTACACTAGCAATATGTGCTTGCCACTGTCATTATCATTCTCGTGTAGTAAATCTTGTCTGATTTATGACTGACAAATAAAAGCATATCGCCGTTTTTTTGTGACCAAAATAATAGACCGATTGTTGATAGTTAGATCAAACAGTAGGAATAAATAGTACGAGCGGCAGACCTCTAGTTGGAGCCACAGTCAAAAAACATTATGGCAGCCATATTGAATCATTCGTAAATTCGAGAAAATAAATGTATCCAAGTACGAAGAATAATGAATAAATGAATTTCAAGGATATAAATTGAAGATATTAACAAAAATTATAACATCGGCAGAAAAAAAAGTTTCGTTTAGTTACGAAATAATTTCTTGGTATGGCGACGTGCAGTGATAACGTCAGTCGGTAACTGATATATATGTTACAAGTGGGAAATACTAAAATTTATATTAGGAGAGCTTGATAAAAACAGACATGAGATCATTATTGTTTGCCAGAACGAATAGACAGATTTCTCGGTTATATCATAAGTATTAATTCACAGGGTAATTAGTTTCCATTATAGTACAAGCATACCACGATTCTCTATCTGTCGAAATACAGAGAACTAATCATGCGCCCACATACAACTACGTGTATACCTATGGCAATGTTAATATTGGCCACTCAACCGGAGTGAGGGTACTGACACGCTGGTGGGGGAGCTTAAACTATAATAATACCGAATCTATAAGACATTCAAGCCACCAAGAAGAGTCGTCTTCAATCGTGCGTGAACTCTTCTCAGAATGTTGAAGATATAACACGTTATTAATTATTAATTAGAAATATGTGAAAATCGTGATATTTTGTTAGTTATTAAAAACATATATATACTGAGGATCCATGGAAATGTTTAAGGTATGAACAATTTTTTCATGACACATCTAGAATACGTTGACCTTACAGTTTGCACGTGGCTTTCTCGGCTGACACTTCTATAGGTTGCAGATATATGTATGTGTATACATAAAATATTTTTATTAAAGAACAACAGATTTAATGTACTTTCCGTTGCATCTTTTATTCATAGGAAATATCACAGATAACCCAAAGGTTCGTGTGCCGACAGAAATGGACGTTAATGCTTTGCCTCCTCTTTGCTTTAATAATTGTTCCTACTGTAACGCACTTTCTAAAATGGCCGTCCCCCGGTGACACGGATATGGACAACGTTCCACAGGAGCTTTACGAGGATGGTAAGGAAATCTAAAATTCTAGTTAGCAAGTAGGATAATTTGCCAACTGATATTGATCCTCATCATCGGATCTTTCTCTAGTTTTTCGCAGATGGTATAATCTTACCGACGGTTAGTAAATGAAACTCACGAGTGAGTGGCTACGGGTTAATTTTAATGAAGGCAGTATCAAAGGATCCTATTCTTGAACAGGTGAGAAACATTGGTACAACCTGAAGAATGATATCAAGTGGGACGATGTGGATTTACTGCGCGAGGTCAAACGGAATTGGATCATTCAGGAATACGATGCTGCGAAACCGTACTCGCTCAACGATCCTTACCTCAATGACACCTCGATGGGCCAAGCCCAGATGATACGTGAGATCTTTCAAGAGAAGGTGAATCTAAATGTCATACCGTTGATAGTTAATAACGAACATGAAGACGCCAGAGTCTAGGGCGATATCGGGTTGCGTTTCAGAAGGGCGGATTCTTCGTCGAATGTGGCGCTTATGACGGAGAAACGCGTAGTAACACTCTTAATCTTGAGAGATTTTATAATTGGACAGGTCTTCTCATCGAGGCTGATCCAATTAACTTTACGAAAATGCTGATAAAGAACAGGAAGGCTTGGCTGACACCATCTTGTCTGAGCATCGAACCTCGTCCGATGGTGGTAAATTATTAATAACAATGAAAATCGTCAAAAGCTTAAATACGATGCTTGATAATGATTTTCTTTTAATTCTATTTTTATACATGATTATCCTAGGCGAATTTTCTAATGGCCAAGAACATTGGACGACTTCATGATCCTGAGCATTCCGAGGAAGGCATTGAGAACACGGCGGACGTTGCGCATACCGGTACCCATGTCAAAGTTCAGTGCTTTCCACTTGCGACCTACGCCGCGGCGCTAGATGTCACCACTATAGATTATTTCAGTCTTGACATTGAAGGCAATGAGATGGAGGTCCTAGAAACGATACCATTTGATCGTCTGGATATCAAGGTGAGCCCCGAAATGCAGGAATTATTATCAAATGAGATTTTACGTTTTCTTTCCCATTTTCCTTTCAGACTCTCTCGGTCGAGTATGTTCACGGCAAGAAGGATCGCGACTATATGATTAATTTCATGAAGAAGCGTGGATACCACGTGTACAATTTTGTCGAACGCGATGACAACCTCGCTAATGACGTCATCTTCGTTAAAAACACTCTACCCAACAGTCCATTACACGAATTGTAGAAATTACCTCAGTCAGAAAAATGATGCCATTAACAAAGAAATAATTCTGCTCGGCTTAGAAGCGATTCCGTTTCTTAATATTGGTTAGTGAGAATTAAATATGATCTATAAAATGATCTATATAAATATATCAATGTTCTTAATACGTTGAACTAAGATATAATTTATCAATGCATATTGCATTATGATAATATACTATTTTACGTACCTGCAGCATTTCTAAAATTGTATCTCTGTAAAACTCTCTTCCTCGAATCAATTTCATTATTTTTCTCATAGATCATTGTCCTCTTTCTTTTTCTCAATAATTCATCACATTCTCAATCATCAGCCATAGAAACACTCTATTCGTACATTAAAATATATTTACAAGACTTCACGCACCCTCCAAGGGCTCTTTTTATCAGTAGTGATACTATACGTAACGATGATACTCGCAATATTATAGTGGCAATAAGTATAGCAACGATAACATTAAATAGTATGCACAGTGTTACAATAATAATGATAACAACAACAATAATAATAATGGTAGCACTAATCAATATTTCCTACAAGTAGTAAAATAATTCGAATCTCGTAAAAGTCTATATCCTCGTGAGTAAATACGTATGAATGTAACTGAGGCACGTATATCTGTAGCGTCATATTGTTTTAAATACTTATCTCTGTTTGCTTGATAATAATTATATATACTTTTGTTATTTTTCTTTCCTTTCAGAAACTAAGCGTGAATTAATTACCATGAGTATTTTGGAACAAAAGAGACTTGGCTTTCGGTGAAATTCATCACCTTTCCGCGTTAGCAAAACGGGGTATAAGAAAGGACAAAGGAAGTGGAGGGATGGAATTAGATAAAATAAAGCAAAACTCCGTGGAAACGAAAAGAATGTAACGACAAAGATAAAGAGACATATTTTACCGTCGAATGGACGTTTCTGGAATGATTTTTTTTTTCGACTAATTAACGTCCCCAATCAGTTCACACTTATTGCTTCGCCATGAGCAATTACCTCGGTCGGCGTGATTATTAAAATATGGCGTCGTTTCGATTCGAGTGAAAACTTGTCGAAAATTTTCATTGACAAAAATGACTTAACCTCTCACCGACACTCTTCCACGACCCTTCATCTTTCACCCCTTCAAGGGGAGTCACTCTTAACTTCCAGTACAATTAATTATACACCAATCACACGCCTCCGACATTCAACAAAGAACATTACAGCGTTACTGCCGTTTGTCAATTTTCGCGTTTTCTTTTTACATTTTTTTTTTCTTTTAATTTTCTTACACTTAATTACCAGTAATATCGACCTTCAAGCGCACGCTTCGACAAGACAGGTAGATAATGGCACTGCGACACAAAAGTTGCAGCCTTTTCGAACACGGAATAATTACGTCATTTTATAGGAACAATTGTAGGTTAGGTTAGATATTTACACTCGATAACCACGCGAAACGATACGGACAGTGTGAAGAAGCAAAAAATATATATATAGGTATCACGATCAGTCTACAGGATGTACAAAAAGTAGTAGTAATCTCGACGTTATTGACTTTAAAAGTAACTTAATGTAATTTCGAATATTTTATGTCGCAGTCTGATAAAAGATTCTCAACGCCATATTGTTCATCGTGGTTTTTTTTTCTTATACTAGAAATGTCTTTGTTGCAGTATACATTCCCTTCGTATAGTACACACCTTATACCTATGATTTTGAGTAAATTTCCTGGACTGTCCAAAGGCGTCTTATCGCCCTACCGATGATTCCCGACTAGAAAGAACGTCCAGGAATGAGGTGTTCTCAAACATGCACAGATTCATACACATATATTCTCTCGCTCTTTCAGTCACTCACTCAACAGACACTCTCTTTCTCTCTGGTACCCAGGAAAATGGCACGGACATGTATCACTGCCTTTCCCACGATCCCCTGTTTACCCTTTGTCGCTCGAGCGACGGACAATTTTTCCACTAGATAAAATTTCCATTTTCGTGGGGAACGAAAAGTCACCCGATTTGCATTCCCTTTGTACTTGTTTTGCCGATCGTTTAAGTCCCGTCACCGTGCCCCCCGTGGTGGCATATCGTGACTTCCACAGGTCGAGTCGCGAAAATAAGGGAGGACCACCCTTGTTCTCCGGCCTATCTCTAACCCTTTAGCGCAATTTCATCGTGGTATAAATTAAAGTAAACTACTTCGCGCCCCATTCGAATGCCTCTAAATGAGAGTATTCGTCTTACTAGTATATCTTCTCTATAGGAGAAGTCGAACCCACCCCTAACTGGCCCCCGAAACAGTCGAATATATTTTGATAATTAGCTGCTAGTTCATTTCCGGTGGAACCATCGAAAATCCCGACTAGGACGAACGTGACTGATCGTTTGTACAGAACAAGGATTTTCGATGATACCTTAGAGACCGGAAGTCTACTAAATCTAAGTTTAACAATCTCTTCAGCTGGCCCCCGCAGAGAAGAAGCAGTCCTGACGTCTGGCCAATCTTCATCCAGTTCACGGCTTACTCTATAACGTTCAATTGGACTGCCGACGGTCTTGGCTCGGACAGGTCCAGCAACTCCTGGGTACGATGATCGTCGGCAGTCTGCTAGTCTCAGACGAAGCTCTCCTGTTTCTTGCCGATGATACTTCCGGTGACAGCAGTCAGTAACGACAGCTTGAGCTGCTTCTCGGACGGCACATTCGGCAGCTTCATGCTGCAGCTCTTGTTGCTGCTGCTTCGTCTCCAGAAGTCCGACTGATTGGTACTGCAGTTGGTCGAGCCGGTAGTGTAGGTCCCTGTTCTACCGTAACTCTTCTTTCTCTTGGTATTGCCCAATCCACAGAGCCTCAGGAAGCCCTCGCGGAACTTGGTGGACATCAGGTTGTACAGGATTGGATTAATGGCGGAATTCAGATAGACCATCGTGCGACAGAAGTAAAGAAGACAGTAGTGCGTGTTTATCCCCATATCGAGAATGGTTTTAGGGGTCGCCATGATGATCCACAGCGTGAACGCCCTGAATGGTAACAGACAGATGAAGAAGCTCAGTACTACCGTACCAAGCATCAGCACCACCTGCTTCCGGTATTTCAATAAATTATTAGCTGGTCCTCTGCTGATTGCCGGATTGGCCATCAGGTGCCGCGCGATCACAGTGTACAGGGCGACCAGGATGAACAGTGGCAGGATGAAGAAGACGATGATGGTCGTCAGGAAGAAGCCGACTGTCCAGTCGCTGGTGTCCACCCTCATCTGGCATACCGGAACCATGGAATCGCCAATGTACTCCGCCATCCTGTAGTCCGATATCAGGAGAATTGGACTGTGGGCAAAATTTGTTTTTTCATTTTCAAGGACATCCATTGTTTTTGATAAATTTTCAAAATTTTATTATCTCAATCTCGAGAACAAAACACATGTAAATTTATTTTCTCTCTACAGCACAAGATCCATTTTGGATATTATGTTTTCTTTTTTCTGTCTCTCCCTCCTATATCCCCTTTCGGCCTAGAGCTATATTTTCTTACGTCCGCAAGCGACGAATGTTTGCTTAGCAAAAACACAAAGGCGCATTTCTATGTGGAAGTCCGCTCGAGTCTATTGGGAAATGTTTACTGGATAAACTGTCAGGACTGACACTATGGAGACGCGAGGACGGTCTGCCGTCAAGCAACGAGGACGCGTTACCGATCGGTTAAATATATCATATTTGATAACACATAGACGTATGCCTGTGTTACCGTGTGAAAAGAGCATAAGGAATTGTTTCTATCACTCTGACTCTCAGCTGCAATTTATTTATTTGAATTTCGACGTCGTTCGCGAGATACACAAATAAATTTAGGCGACATAAAATATCGTGCGAGTAGCCACTCTTTTTAAAAATCACAATAATTAGGCGCCTATAGGCATTAATTAACAACGAGGGTAACGCAGAGACTAATAAAATTGCTAGGTAATACTGTGAGTTACATGGAGAAATTTTGAACGTTCTCGATACCGGAAGCCAACGATCCGATCATCCGTCGATTTTACATAAGAATATCATACGCTCCAACCGATCTTCGTTGTCGGCGCCATATTGGAAAAATCGTCATCGGATCGTTTGTCTTCCACAATGCCACATAAATATTCTAGTCTTTTTTTCCTCCCCCAACAACAAATTCATCCCGAACCCCCGTTGCAGTCTCTACAGGAAGATCTCTTGCTGGTCCTTCCTGGTCATCCTGCGCGAAATCCTCGTGGAGGTCAGCGTGCTCCGGAAGGTACCGCGATCGTGACCACGTCTCCTGGCGAATCCGCAGAGCCTGAGGAATCCTATCCTGAATCGGGTGCTCATCAGGTTGTACAGTATGGGATTGACCGCGCTGTTCAGGTAGAACATGATCCGCGAGAAGTAGAGGACGTTGTAGTAGGCTTCGGAGTGTCGGGTGACCTTGTCGGCAGGTATCAGCACGACGTAGAGGGTCAGCATGTGAAAGGGCGTCAGACATATGAAGAAGCTGAAGACGACGGTGAGGAGCATCATGACGACCTGGCGACGTGACCGGATGTGCTGGGACTCGCTGGTACTTGCAGTTGCCGAGTCGCGCACCAGATGGCGCACGATGATCGAGTAAAGCACCAGAAGGATGAGCAGGGGCAGGAAGAAGAAGAAGAAGAAGACCAGGATCAGGAAGAAGGACATGGTGGCCAAGGTTTTCACCTCTGCCAGGCATGTTGGCACCACTGTTGAGTTCCCTTGTGTTTCCAAATAGTTCGTGTTGTTTGTCCAGTATTCTTCGTACTGCGTGATCCAGATTATTGGACTGCAATCAACCAAAAGTGGATACAGTGCTTCTCGTTTAAATTTTTCGCCACCCTGATTGCCGATGAGATTTCTTACGTGGGTTCCCCAAGGCAATGTAGAGACAACATTTTTTTTTTTGTTTTTTTTTTAGTACAACAACAAAATCGAACGTAGCTGTGAGACTACGTTGCTTCGTGACCCAGAGACTTTTACCGATGTGCAGATAATTTTTTTTCTGTCACGGAGAGACTGGTCCCGTCTGGTTGGCTGCAGTTCAATAATTTGAGTATCGTCACTGTGCACTTTTTCTCTTTGGAAGACTTTAACGATCATTCTGGTGTTTCCTGAATTTGACGTTTAAACAAAATTTATTTCCCTTACGTATATACGCCACAGATCGCCGGTTACGTAATGGCGCATTGTTTATGCGTAATTCGCGAACAAATATTTTTCATGAATTTAATATGCCGGACTTTTTCGGATTTTATTAGGACGGTCCATCTTCCAAAAATGCACTGTGCATTCACCGGACCGCAGAGGGTGGGTCACCACCGCCATCATCCCCCTACTGTCTGCGCTTCCATTGTACTGTATGAGTCGTGTGTGTATGCATATGTAATATAAGGAACGTGACGTAATGTGTGTGCATTAACATAAAATATGAATTCGCGACGACGACGGAGGGCGGAGGGCGTCGCGACGCACATTTTGACAATATTAAACTGCAACCAACGAAGGTTATGTCTCTCCGAAAAATATGGCGGATGACGTAAAGGGTGCCGAACAAAAATTCTTCCATAAGGACAAACCCAGAGGCACGTTCTAGAAGGTTTGATCGTGTCCCTGAGAAGTCACTCGAAAAAAAAAAAAATAAGAGAACAAGCCAAATGAAAAGTTCCGAAAAAAAAAAACAAAACAGAAAAGAAAGCAAAATCAGAAAAAAGAAAATTGCACGCGGCATACAAAAATAAAAAAAAAGAAACAGCGAGCGATCGGAACAAGAAATAATAAAAGCCGAGAGTGGGATCGGGGGGGGGGAGGTGAGTGAAAAAAAAGCGAGAATTCAAAAAGGCAAAAAAAGCGTATCGTATGCGTGTGCGTGTGCGCAAGCGAGTCCAAAAAAAAAATGGCACTCACGTATCCGCGCAACGTGTGGCTCTTTTCGTTGGCGGGCGAGGGGGTGGTTAACGAGTATCTCGGAAAACGAAAAGAAAATATATAAAAAAAAAAAATGAAAAAAAAAAACCGTTCCAATCCTCTTTCTCCACCGTGATGCATAATGCAAACAGGTTGAACATATCATACACGTATGCACGTGAGTGCTGATATTGATACCAGAAGACCACCCACTCACCCACCTGGGTACGGAGAGGGGGTAGCAAAAAAAGGCACAATCCTTCACCATCAGCCAGGAATATTTTTCCAACGATCCTCTCGTGCCCGACTATCGATACGTATAAATTGGTATAAAAAAGAAGAGGGCGAGGGGGGAGGGAAAAAAGGGGTTGAAAACGTCCAGGACGTCGATTCGTCCCGATTAACTGAAGTAGCCGATGATGGCCCTAAGGGAGGTCTGATTCTCCGTTAAGAGTATATCCGCGGCAGCTACCCCCTGCAACCAACCCTTAGCTGTCAAGTAATCTAGCTGACGCTACCATCGTCGATGGTCACGGACAGGGGATGGCGGGGCCCAGACCCCCCCGGTGTTAAAAGTTATGCACATATTTCTTGGGCGCGTCGCTGCAAAAAGCCATTGGTGCCAGGGGGTAAGTGATTGATTGGATCGGTCCGATCCAATGATGTATCCTCGCGGCATATTAAAAAGTTATGAATCTCAAAGGTGGGAGG